TATATATACATTCTTTTTACTTGTAGATGCATCTGTGTTTCTTAAAATAATTTTATTTATTTATTTTTAATATAATTTTTCCCACAAGTCTTTTTATTTCCATATGTTGCCTTTACATTTCTCTGTCTCCTATATTTACTTTACGTTATGCATTTCTACCTCATTATGCAAATAAAGGGAGCGATCCTTCTTGTGTCAGCTCCTTTCTATTGGTCAACAGATAGGAGCCATGTGCCTCAGTTTAGTTTAGTTTAGTTTAGTTTAGTTTAGTTTAGTTTAGTTTAAAACAAGGCGAGAAGGAAAACACTTGTGTTTTTGTAGAATTATGTCAGTTTTGGTCCTTCGTACAAAAATGGGTTTCTGAAATAGCCTTCTACTTCTTTGTGGTCATAAAGAATGTTTAATTTTCATGTTGTGAGGCAGCAATGAACTTTTGTCAACTGGATCTGTTTGAGGAGTCTGAGTATTTATTTATAGTATAAAACGTTTTAAATGTCTTGCTCCAGATTRTGCACAAATTGAAGATTAATGTGTCTGAGATTTGAGTGAATTAAACTTATTGTATGTGCTCAAATCCACATTTACTTTAAAATCTCTCAATTCTACCACACATTGTGTACTTTTAAACAAACGTCACTAATCTAATTCATTTGTGTGTGTTCATGTGTATTAAATGACATATTAATGAGTAATTTTTTTATTATGGTTTTCTGGCAACTTCTCAGATTAGTTGCTGGTTTGACTCTTCGGGTTTTTATGATCAGCAGTAACAAAAGAGATACATTGAGTTAATTAGATACTTGTTGGCAGAAAAGAATCACATTTCATCCTGGCTGCAAGAAAGCTAATGAAGGTTTTATCTAAAATCCTTTAAATGTGCTGCGCCAGTGCTCCTCCTGAATATTCAGCTGCAATTTATTGAAGTAAAGCTCTCTGCCCCGGCTCATCGGACCTTTTATTGATGCTTGTAATGGAACAAAACTCTTTTTAAAAATTTTATTTTACTTTTTTTTTTATCCTGTCTCTTTTGCTCTCGCGCTGACCCAAACATATTTCTGACGTGTTTGATTTGAGGCTTTGGCAAAGTTAGAATTTGGCACAGAGGCTTACATTCTTTCATCCCTGCTGATAGAAACTACTGGCGTAATATCAAATGGAGGTGAAACTGAAACACACAGGCTTTTCTTTGCAGAACTGGGCCACTGCAAATCCTGCCGTAAAAACAGGAAGATCTGGTTACAGATTTAAGAACATTTAAAGTCACCATCAGAGAGGCAGGCTTTTGAACTTTGAGCTGCAACTGGACGGTTCACAAAATAATTTTCAAATCACGAACTGTCTGGTGTTTCCAGGTAGTTTC